GGAGACTTGTACCAAAATATAGGCAATCCATGAGAAATGGAAATTTGAAAAAAATCATATAAATTACTTTTAAAACTTCAGTCTGCTTTTAAATATATTTCATTAATACATTTGTATTAAATTGGCTTATTCTTATCCCAAAACTATTGTAACCTTTGGTGTCAGTGAGCATAAACAGTTATTTTTCTTTTCATTAAATAGAGAGCACCATATGGCACTAAAATTTGAACATCTCTCACAGCCAAAAACTTGATTTAAGTTTTACACTATTTCCCTGAAGGTAAGCATTCTTTGATGACAATAACTTACCTCTTCTCTGTGCTCATCACCTGACTGCTGGATATACCACTTAATAGATGCTTGTTGGGATTTAGGAATACATTCCAGAAAGGTAGAGTTAAATTCAATGCCAAATATCACCTTTTCATCAGCAGTTTCATGACTAGTGCCTGGAAAGCAAACATAGAATAAGAGATTAACCTTGACCTGATTTTAAAAACAATGGGAAAATAGATTGATTTAGAACAGATGCCATGAAGAAAGAATCATACACATTATTAAAGAGAAAGGAAATTCATGTTAGAATATTGCCACCTCAGACAAATATTATCCAATAGATAGATTTTTAAAACTCTATCCCTGTATTGTAATTTTTACTCTTTCATCAATATATTAGCTTTTTTGCAATTGATTTTTAAAAATAATAATTCACAAGATCTAACTCCACAAACTGAGTATTTTTCTCTGAGCTGAATAAACCTTTTGCATCTTGTAATGCTTTAACACTTTTTGTTTATATAAAATATGAACAATTTTGTAGATAGTTCTGAAGGAGCAATTTACTTCACTTTTAAAGAGAAATTCTATCATGAACCATAGAGCTGATCAGATAACATTAAGAAATTTTGATGTCAGGAAAGTAAGTACTGCAATCTGTATTTGGCAAAATTCTACAATGATAATAATTCTCTAATACTCAGAATCCGGATCTTACCTGTATTATCTACCAATTTTTTTTCTCTTTTATACAGAAAGATTCTCTAGCCCACCATATATTTTCTGTGAGAAAGTTAATGGTATGCTAAAGGAGCAGTGTCTCAGATACCTTACTCTCATAAGTCAATGCATCATCTGAAATACATTCCATCTAGAGTAGCCAAAGGCTGTGTCCCATGTGCCATCTAAGATCTATAACTCAAACTTAATCAAATAAGAAATGATAGCTGTTCAGCCTG